TCATAGTACTTGTGCCAAATCATAGTATTTATACCCAATCATAGTATTTCTGCTAAATCATAGCATTTGTGCCAAATCATGGTATTTGTGCAAAACATAGTATGTCTGCAAAACCATAGTATATCTGTTATGTTATAGTATTACTACTAAGGCATAGTATTTCTGCCAAATCATAGTGTGTGTGCCAAATCGCAGTATTTATACCAAATCACAGTATTTGTGGTAAAACATAGTATTTCTGCCATATTGTGGTATTTGTGCAAGAACATTGAACTGTTATGTTATAGTATTACTACTAAGTCATAGTATTTCTGCATTGTTATAGTATTTGTACTAAAACGTAGTATCTCTGCCAAGTCATAGAATTACTGCAATTTCATAGTTTTTTTTAGGAAATCTGTTATGTTATAGTATTACTACTAAGTCATAGTATTTCTGCCAATCATAGTATTTGTGCCAAAGCATCGTATTTGTATGGAGTCATAGTATTTCTTCTAAATCATAGTATTTCAATCAAATCTCAGTAGTTGTTGTTAAAACGCAGTATTATTGCCAAATCATAGTATTTGTACCAATCATAGTATTTCTGCTAAATCATAGCATTTGTGCCAAATCATGGTATTTGTGCAAAACATAGTATGTCTGCAAAACCATAGTATATCTCTTATGTTATAGTATTACTACTAAGGTATAGTATTTCTGCCAAATCATAGTATTTGTACTAAATCATAGTACTTGTGCCAAATCATAGTATTTGTTGAACATCATAGTATTGGAACCAAAACATAGTATTTGTCCCAAAGCATCGTATTTGTATTGAGTAATAGTATTTCTTCTAAATCATAGTATTTCAATCAAATCTCAGTAGTTGTGTTAAAATGCAGTATTATTGCCAAATCATAGTATTTGTACCCAATCATAGTATTTTTGCCAAATCGTGGTATTTGTGCCCAATTAATAATTCTGTTATGTTATAGTATTACTACTAAGTCGTAGAATATCTGTTATGTTATAGTGTATCTGCGGAATATAGTATGTGTGCCAAATTGTAGTATTTACACCAAATCACAGTATTTGTGCTAAAACATAGTATTTCTGCCATATTGTGGTATTTGTGCAAGAACATTGAACTGTTATGTTATAGTATTAGTACTAAGTCATAGTGTTTCTGCGTTGTTATAGTATTTGTGCTAAAACGTAGTATCTCTGCCAAGTCATAGAATTAATGCAATTTCATAGTTTTTTTTAGGAAATCTGTTATGTTATAGTATTACTACTAAGTCATAGTATTTCTGCCAAATCATAGTATTTGTACTAAATCATAGTACTTGTGCCAAATCATAGTATTTGTTGCACATCATAGTATTGGAACCAAAACATAGTATTTGTCCCAAAGTATCGTATTTGTATTGAGTAATAGAATTTCTTCTAAATCATAGTATTTCAATTAAATCTCAGTAGTTGTGTTAAAATGCAGTATTATTGCCAAATCATAGTATTTGTACCCAATCATAGTATTTTTGCCAAATCGTGGTATTTGTGCCCAATTAATAATTCTGTTATGTTATAGTATTACTACTAAGTCGTAGAATATCTGTTATGTTATAGTGTATCTGCGGAATATAGTATGTGTGCCAAATCGTAGTATTTACACCAAATCACAGTATTTTTGCTAAAACATAGTATTTCTGCCATATTGTGGTATTTGTGCAAGAACATTAAACTGTTATGTTATAGTATTACTACTAAGTCATAGTATTTCTGCGTTGTTATAGTATTTGTGCTAAAACGTAGTATCTCTGCCAAGTCATAGAATTAATGCAATTTCATAGTTTTTTTTAGGAAATCTGTTATGTTATAGTATTACTACTAAGTCATAGTATTTCTGCCAATCATAGTATTTGTATTAAATCATAGTACTTGTGCCAAATCATAGTATTTGTTGCACATCATAGTATTGGAACCAAAACATAGTATTTGTCCCAAAGTATCGTATTTGTATGGAGTAATAGTATTTCTTCTAAATCATAGTATTTCAATTAAATCTCAGTAGTTGTGTTAAAATGCAGTATTATTGCCAAATCATAGTATTTGTACCCAATCATAGTATTTTTGCCAAATCGTGGTATTTGTGCCCAAATAATAATTCTGTTATGTTATAGTATTACTACTAAGTTGTAGAATATCTGTTATGTTATAGTGTATCTGCGGACTATAGTATGTGTGCCAAATCATAGTATTTATACCAAATCACAGTATTTGTGCTAAAACATAGTATTTCTGCCATATTGTGGTATTTGTGCAAGAACATTGAACTGTTATGTTATAGTATTACTACTAAGTCATAGTATTTCTGCATTGTTATAGTATTTGTGCTAAAACGTAGTATCTCTGCCAAGTCATAGAATTACTGCAATTTAATAGTTTTTTTTAGGAAATCTGTTATGTTATAGTATTACTACTAAGTCATAGTATTTCTGCCAAATCATAGTATTTGTGTGAATTTGTATACTGTAATATCACTGTATTATGTAGTGGCTAAGTAGGGGCTGTTTACTAAGTGCATCAGTGTAAATAGGTCATCTCTTGTGTTGGAGTGCCCTCTTGTGGCGCCTTTTGGGTAGTGCCTTAGTAAACGGGAACCCTGTAAAAAGTGGCATCAGACTGATTTGTAGTGGAGGAATTTGTTACCAGTTTTCTTAATCTTTAATCTGTATGCATGTTGTAATGCATACCCTGTTCTTAATCATAGAAACCACACCATATCACCTCTCCACATCCTCCTACTGTATGCCATACCTCCCTGTACCATCCATCTGACCGCAATAAACTCCACCTGTGGTAATCTAATCCCTGGATGTCAGCCTCTCCTTCTGACCGAGGATAGTTATAGTATTTGAGCCAAATCATAGTATTTGTGCTAAAACATAGTATTTCTTCCAAATCATAGTATTTGTGCCAAAGTTTAGTATTTCTTCCAAATCATAGTATAACTGCACAATAAAGGTTCTTGAGCCACATCAGTGTTTGTGCCAAATCTTAGTATTTCTTCTAAATCCTAGTAATTCTGCTCAATGATAGAATTTCTGCAATGCTTTAGTACTTTTTTCCTAGATTGTAGTACTTCTGCTAAGTCAAAGTATTTCATGTAAATCATAGTATTTCTACCAAGTCCCAATGTTTCTGCTAAATCATAAATAATGTTTTAGTACAAATTGTATGATTTGGTGGAACTTTCTGTGTTCCAGCACAAATGCTATGATTTGGCAGGAAAAAAATATTATTTAGCATAAATACTAAGTTTTAGCAGAAATGCTATGTTTAAACTTTAAAAAATTCTGCTATTTCTGCTGATGTGTGTTATGACTTTTGACCATTGAAATGAATGGAACACATTATCAATGTGGTCACTGATTTTGCATGATGGGCTGAGTTGTGTTTTACCTCAGTGAGATAAGCATCCGTTCTCAGACTGGGAGGCCTGGGTTCAAATCCAGCTTATGGCAACATTTCTTTCACTTAACAGTTAAACTTTTTTTAAACTCTTTTCAACACAAATTTCATTTTTTCACCCCTTTTCAGCAAAATTTTCAGTTTTTTTAACCCCTTTCAGCACAAATCCAAACTTTTTCAGCTCTTTTTCAGCAAAAACCTCTTTTCAGCAGAATTCTGCTCATTCACCTCTTTTCAGCAGAAATTCTGCTGATTGAACTCTTTTCAGCAGAATTTTCACCCCCTTTTTTTGCCCAAATTCTGCTAGCACAATTGTCAATCTCTCCACCTTTTCTTTGTCAGAAAGTGTTTGGCTCAGTGAGCTAAATAGCTGCCCTTTGACCAGGAGGGCCAGGTTCGAATCCTGCTCAGGGCATCTTTTTTTTGTTTTTTTTTGTTTCAACTTTTTCAGCTTTTTTCAGCAGATATCTTCAGCCGTTAAGGCATCCACACTGCATTTTCGCAGGAAATGCAAATTTTTCTAGTTTTATTTGTGTTGAGCACTAAATTTGATAAGAGTGAGAAATCATACAGAAACCTTGAGTAAGGCATGGTGGGCAATAGATATCAACAAATAAAACTATTTTTGAGTTTTCTTGGGTGGACAAGGCTAAGCATCAGGCTTTCAAATGAATTGAAACTCCCTGGGTCTGTGGTTGATTAAAAAGCTGAGGTGCAAAGCTTGCTACCATATCCTCCCTTTGCCTGTGGTTTATAGATTCTGACATTTAGTATAACTCTGGGGTGCTGATTCATTTAAACTAACATAATCATCATGCTGTAACCAGGTTTCTGTAAGATTTGTTAATCAATTATTAATTGATGTGCTAACAGGCACTTAGAAAAGAGAGATTTAAGGTTTAATAATCTAGATTTTACTGTTTTACTTGTTGCAGTTGAGAATAATATGTTGTTCTTTCTTTGTCTTTTTTTGTGTTTAAATCATTTTTGCTGATTCAGTCCAGTAGTGAAATTTGCTAGTTACCAGCACTAATGTCAGGGCAGAACACTGATTAGTGTGTATTTCCTGGATAGCTAGTTAGCTAGCACTTTTACTGTATCATGCTGCTGAGTGACTGCTACTCGTCAAACACATTTCATTGCAATATTGACCCTGTGCTAACTTGCATATGACAAATAAAACTGAAAACTGAAACTGAAACTTTTACGGTTAGCTACGTTAGCTAAAATGGTCATTCGCTCTGATTCTTGCTGCTGCTCCTAATGAGGAATTTCTGTGTGTGTATTGATTTTGTTAATGTACTGAACAAAGTTTTGAAATAAACTCACCGTGGCTCCCTGTGCTCTGTGGTTGTGAATCCAGCATGGTAGACAGGACAATGGAAATGGACTGGCTGACTTCAACTCTCTTCTCCTCACTATTTACACTCCCTGATCCCACCGTTTGCCCCATGTCATTTACATTGTGAACACATCCTAATTTAAGCCTTTTTTTGGCTTTAATTCCCTGTTTACTCTGTGCTTTCTCTCTTTCTCTGGACTTACAGATAGTCCTTGAGAGCGACACCAACCATGATGGTCTGCTGGATTTCCAGGAGTTCTCTCAGTACCTCCAGACTCACGAGAAAAGACTCTGGCTCATGTTCCACAGACTGGACCGTAACAATGACGGTGTGTGCAAGCTTAACACACAGTAAATACACCACCCATAAATAATCTCTTTACAGGCCCCAATTTCCAATGCTGTTTGTACTCTCTGATGTGTTTGGTAGGGCAAATTGATGTGGGGGAGATCCAGCACTCACTACAAAAGCTTGGAGTGGAGGTTACCATGGAACAGGCCTCCAAAATACTGCAGAGGTACCATGTCTGAAATGGAAATTTGATTTTGTTTGTATTTCTTTACACAGTGATCTATTACAGTCAAGTCTTCTCTATAGTTTACCTCATAAATCCCTCCATAAACTGCAGTTGGTTCAAAATACAGCTGCTCGTATTATTTCCAGAACTAGATCCACTGAACATATAACACCTGTTAAACAGCTCCATTGGCTCCCAGTTCACCTCCGTGTCAATTTCAAGATCCTGCTTCTCACTTTCAAAGCGCTTCATAACTTTGCTCCTCCATATCTATCCGAGCTTCTCCATACATACTCACCCCTTCGTACACTCCGCTCTTCTTCAGCTTCCCTTCTGTCAGTTCCACCTGCTCAGATTTTACACCATGTGCCATTGTAGCTGACTTGGTTGAGCAGGTGATCCATATGCCAAAAGTCTACAGGTGCCTGGGTTTGATTCTATCTCCCTTGTGCTCGCCCTACTTTCCAGTATAAAAAAGGTTAAAACTACATAAATGATTTAAACTCAACTGGCTAAGTCGGAGGATTAGCTTTGAGGATTAAGGGAGTTTACAAAGCCAAAGATTTTGTGGCAGTGGCATTTTTGAAGGCCGCATCTTAAACAATCAGTAGCAGTTAGTGATAGAACTGAACTTTCAGGTGAGTTTCCAACTGGAGAAGGGCCCAGGGACAAGGCTGGCATACAGATGGTTAGCACGTGAGGGGATTTAGGACACAAGAAGTGCACGTAATAGTAAGGATTTAGAAAAGCAGCTACTTGACTGCTGTAATCAGAGGATGATGAAGTGTTAATATCAAAATATTACTAACAGTGAAAAAGAAGTGCACAATAAAAGAAAATAATATTAATGGACTTGGGTTGCAAGATGGCACCTGTGTTTGGCTGTGCCTCTGTCTATGTGTTTGTTTATTTTACATATTGTGCAAGTATTTTTGGTACAGTTTTGCCCGGTGTCATCTTCCTTTTAATATATGATGCATCTGATAAAATCTGCTATGGATAATTTTCAGAGTCAACAAAATGAGGTTGTTTTTCCAGTGCTGCTTGAGCACTTCGCCTTTGCTTAGGAGGCTTCGTCAGAGGAAGCGGGGGAAAAGAGCTGGTTTCTTTGTACTACTTTGTCGGCTTTGGAGAGAAGCAGGTCTTTGGGAGCTTTACTCCTGGGCTGCTGCCAGTCAGATTCACCTGAGGCTTGTTGAGGCTGGCCTGTTTTTCACATTGTTATCTGAAAGTGTGGAAAGCCATGGGAAAAATCTATTAAAAAGAGGCCTGTGTTGAGCTGGAAGGCTCAGGTTGATCAGGGTCAACTGGCCTCCTATACCACCGGAGTGAAGGTGTAATTTGGCAAGCCTTGGATTGCTTTGGAGTGCTTTGAGTGCTCAGAGTAGAAAACCACCATATAGGAACCAATCCATCTGCCATTCGCAGATATGGGCAGAGAAGCTGCCTCTGGCTAGGAGATGTGGCCGTCTTGAAACAAGTATTTATAATCTTGATGGCCGAATTACATGAAAACTTGTTTTAAACAGGTGAGAGGGAATGATGTCAAACAGATGGCACCTCCAACAACTTGCCTCACACATTATTGGATCTGAGCATCCTTAGAAAGTAAAGTCTGCTCATCCTCATCTTGTACAGCGTCTTGTACACTGTTGGTTCCTCCAGTCAGGTGAAGTACCTGTAGCCGTCCCCGTTTTCTAACTCTTCACCCGCCATGTTGATGGGCCTAGTTGCAGTGTTTTTTTCCTCCGAAAGTCAGCCAACATGTCATTTGTGTTGCTGAAATTCAGAAGGAGGTGATTTCTTCTTTCTTCTTAATACATCCAACCACTGCAGTGTCATAAGAGAACTTCTGCAGGTGGCATGTTTTAGTCTTGTAATGGAAATTTGAGGTGGACAGGAATGGAGACAGGACTGTCCCCTGTGGTGCCCTAGTATTACTAACCACCACATCAAACAGTGGTACAAATTAAGGGCTCTCTGACAGATAGTCAGCAATCCAGGAGACAATAGAAGTGGTGAGGCCCATCCTGAGCAGCTTATTATTTAGCAGAAGTGGGTGGATGGTATTAAAGACACTGGGAAAAAAAACATGATTCTAAAAATGCCACCAGTACCATCCTGTTAAGAGTGAGCATGCTGAAAGAGGTAGATAATCACCTCCACAAGAGGGTGGTACGCAAACTGAAAGGGGTCAGGGGATGTTTCACCTGCAAGATATGATGGGCAAGAACCACTCTCTAGCACCTTCATGACATGTGACATCAAGGCATTTGGTCTGAAGTCATTAAGGCCAGAAGGAATGGCTTTCTTCGGTACCAGTACTAAACATAACGTCTTCCATAGTACACTCAACAAAAATATAAACGCAACACCTTTGTTACTGCTCCCATTCCCCATGGGATGGACGTAGAGACCTAAAATTCATTCCAGATACACAATATAACCATCCCTCCCAAACAGTGGTCACAAATCAGTCCAAATGTGTGGTAGTGGGCACATCTGCTATATTGAGATAATCCATCCCACCTCACAGGTGTGCCACATCAGGATGCTGATCTGACATCATGAGTAGTGCACAGGTGTACCTCAGACTGCCCACAACAAAAGGCCACCCTGGAATGTGCAGTTTTGTCTCACAGCAAAATGCCACAGATGCCACAAGCAATGAGGGAGCGTGCAATTGGCATGCTGACAGCAGGAATGTCAACCAGATCTGTCGCCCGTGCATTGAATGTTCATTTCTCAACCATAAGCCGTCTCCACAGGCGTTTCAGAGAATATGGCAGCACATCCAACCGGCCTCACAACCGCAGACCTCGTGTAACCACACCAGCCCAGGACCTCCACATCCAGCAGGTTCACCTCCAAGATCGTCTGAGACCAGCCACCCAGACAGCTGCTGGAACAATTGGTTTGCACAACCAAACAATTTCTGCACAAACTGTCAGAAACCGTCTCAGGGACGCTCAACTGCATGCCCGTCGTCCTCATCAGGGTCTTGACCTGACTCCAGCTCGTCGCCGTAACAGACTTGTGTGGGCAAATGCTCACATTCGATGGCGTCTGGCACGTTGGAGAGGTGTGCGCTTCACGGATGAATCATGGTTCACATTGTTCAGGGCAGATGGCAGCTGAGAATGTCCCAGTTCTTGCATGGCCAGCATACTCACCGGACATGTCACCCATTGAGCATGTTCGGGATGTGCTTGACCGGCGTATACGACAGCGTGTACCAGTTCCCACGAATATCCAACAACCTCGCACAGCCATTGAAGTGGAGTGGACCAACATTCCACAGGCCACAATTGACAATCTGATAGACTCCATGCGACGATGTGTTGCACTGCATGAGGCAAATGGTGGTCACACCAGATACTGACCGGTTCTGGGTCCCCAGACCCCCAATAGCGCAAAAAACTGCACATTCCAGGGTGGCCTTTTGTTGTGGGCAGTCTGAGGTACACCTGTGCACTACTCATGATGTCAGATCAGCATCCTGATGTGGCACACCTGTGAGGTGGGATGGATTATCTCAATATAGCAGATGTGCCCACTACCACACATTTGGACTGATTTGTGACCACTGTTTGGGAGGGATGGTTATATTGTGTATCTGGAATGAATTTTAGGTCTCTACGTCCATCCCATGGGGAATGGGAGCAGTAACAAAGGTGTTGCGTTTATATTTTTGTTGAGTGTATAATGTCTTCACCTTCACCAATTGCTATAACAGTGATCAGACAGGAGACAAGAGGATGCAAAGGGGTCTGCATGGGATCCTACAGCCATGTTGGTGTAATTAACTGGGAATGCTTTTTATTAGTGAAGAAATCTTCCACTTAGGTTGAAGAGATACTGCAGGGGGCAGATGGTTGGGCATCACAGGACTTCAGGACCCTGGAATTGATGCAGCCAAGGGCCTGGAGCTTTAATTTAAACCCCTTTTCCATTAGTACCTACTCGGATCGACTTGCCACCGTTCGCCACAGTTTTCAGGGTTTTCCATTAGGTGATACTGTAATAATACCTGGTACCAGATACTAAAATAGTATGTGCTCTGAAGGGGTTCTAAAGCAATCTGAAGAGGTACTAAAATGCATGGCACCAATTGGCCGGTCAGTGGCATGACTCAATGAGTTATGAGAGCGTCTTATTCGCCAAAATCAAAACTGCTATTTTTTAAACCCGGCATCAAGGGAGATGGCATAAAGGGGGCAAATACTCTTTCACAGCACTGCATGCTTGCCCGTATGGTGCTTTTGCCCATGGCCATTTGGGACCCTTGAGCTCCTGAATACATCTGTTATACAAATGTCAGAAGATGTGATGTCACTTTGTCATCCAGTTAATGAGGGCGAGAAACAGTGAGCATTAACCGGCCCTAACCTTCTCTCTTTCTCCCAGTATGGACAGAGATGGGACTATGACTATTGACTGGAATGAATGGCGTGATCACTTCCTGTTCAACCCTTTGCACAACATGGAGGAAATTGTCCACCACTGGAAGCACTCCCATGTAGGAGTGTTTTTTTTTTGTTTTTGTTTTTCACTTTTAAATGTTATAAATGATTATAAATGATTAATAAATGTTAACATCCTGACAGTATTTATATTTTCATGCTAATGGGTTATTAGGATGAAAATATTTGGTCGTATTTGGCCAAAACATAATCAAGTTGAACTGTGAACTACACTGTTTTCATTCATACCTCATATAGATGTAGATTATGTAACAGTTAGCATGTGTTGGCAAGATGCAGTGGCGAAGAACGAGCAAACACAAACACAGTTTCTATCTTTCTAATGTTGTTTTAGATGTTTGACATCGGGGAACACCTGACAGTGCCTGATGAGTTTTCAGAGCGGGAGCGGCAATCAGGTTTGGTATGGAGGCAGCTGGTTGCTGGAGCCATGGCAGGGGCAGTGTCCCGGACAGGAACTGCTCCACTGGACCGTCTCAAGGTCTTCCTGCAAGTGGGTATTCACACTGTCCTGCCACTGATACACACATTTAGTTTACTATATAATGACCTGAAAAGAGCCAGAGACATTAGTCGACTTAATGCTCTGTGTAATTTCCAGTGATTGTTGTTATTGCTAACCCAGTCCTTAACGGACACATATTGTGAAACTCCACCTCTGTGAAGAGGTTTTTTTCCAAAGTATGAGTTTTGAACATTTGAAGCCTTCTTATAGCCTCTTCAGCAACAAGATTACCTTCCAGCTTTACAGCAATTACTTCCCCGTCTTTGTATGTGCATTCTGAGTAGATGCTTCCATGTGGTTGTTCACACAAAACTAAAACAAAGATGCCAACAGGTAAGAAGGAAGAAAAACATTAATAAACATTGAGAAAAAACCACTAGATGATCCATTAGAAGTTCAAAAGTTCCATATGAACACCAAGATTGGTCACTTTTGTCATTGGCTGTGTGTGGCAGGCAGGAATGGAGGACCCAAATACAGTCTCTCTGAAGCGAAAAGTGAACTCCAAAACAGCTTTATTGCTGGACACAAGGAAAACTAACTAAACTGAGGAGTACAAAATAACCTAGACAGACAGAACGCAACGTGAATGAGGGAGAACGCAATGGAGGACAGAAGAAACAAAGGGCTTAAATACACGGGGAACACAGCTGGGGCTAACATCACACAACGAGACAGGACACAAAGCTGAACATAACACGTGAGACGAGGAACCTTCAAAGTAAGTGAAGCAAAACAGAACATGGCCCACATGGAAGTAATGGGAACACAAACTGACATACACACAGACGAGACCAGAAAATAACAGACGTGAAAACACAAGTGAGACAACGAGACACAAGAACACAGGGAAGGCACCATAAAAAAAACTGAGAACTACACATCAGGAATACTAAATATAACTAGGGGAGCTAGAAATACAAAACTAAATAATAGAAACACTAAATCAAAGAACGTAGATGAACAAAACCGTTTTCAGAAGCCACTGGGCAACTGTGGGTGCTTCTGACTTGAACCAGTAAATTTTTATCATTTTTCTTGCAGTCATGAGGAGAAAATTTAGGAGAAAGCGCTGCTCATAGGAGAAACCATCAGGAAAGATATCCCAAAAAAAGATAAGAGTATCCATTGGGAGGTTGACTGACAATATGTTTTGCATAATGTTCTTAATATCCATCCAGCTCTGTTGTATGCAAACACAGTCCCAAAAGAGATGCGTCTGGTCCCCCCAAACCCCACAATTTCTCCAACACTTATCACCAGAGATGGGCAGTAAAAAAATTGAAAAAAGTTGGAAAAAGTAACGCGTTACTGTAATCTGATTACTTTTTCAAGTAGCAAGTAAGGTAAGGGATTACTATTGCCAAAAAAGTAATTAGATTACTGTTACTTTCCTGTAAGCACGCTGCGTTACTGCATTACTAAAGCCGTGATTTTTTTGCGAGTGTCTCATGACAATGACGTAAGCGAGTGCAACGTTCGTTGCAACAGCTGTGTGCAGATCAACAATGGATAATATGTAGAGTGCGGGAGAGCTTATGACCGTGCAGCGTTTAACGCGTGGAAGTACTGACCTTACTTTGAGTTTGATTCCGTAAAAAGTGACAAAAACATTAGCGTCCACTGTTCACTGCGTGGGAAGTAAACTTATTTTTACAGCGAAAAAAACCCCTAAACTTCAGAGCAAGCACCGAGTATGCTGCCACGGGAATGTGAAATTCACAGAGAAACTCACAGATTCTTCCACTGACCGCTGCGGCACACCTGCACCAGGGCAAACCTCCGCCTGCCGCACTCCTGCTAAACAGGTGAAAATAGAGCAACAGGACCGCTGAGTCTTGATTTATTTTTTCTACTGTATTCACTTGCATCTATTTGAAAGACGAGTGTAAACACAAAAAAATATTTATTTATGTGCTGGAATGTGCAGAAAAAGGTTTAAATGTTAACAAATTTCTTCCAGTCAGAGAATGTTGCATAATTACATTTTGCTTGATGCATAAGTTAAAAGATTAAAACTAATAAACAAGTTTTAAAAGAGACTTTTCCATTTGATTACATTTTGTATGATGGATTATGCAGAAAAAGTAGAATTGGGCTGAAAGATCTATCGCTTTATCACCTATTCAGGTTGTAAATCATGTTTTTAAAAAGTTACTAAGTAACTAATTACTTTTGGAAAAAGTAATCAGTAAAGTAAAGGGATTACTTTTGGGGTAAAGTAATCAGTAATTAGTTACTGATTACTTTTTTCAAGTAACTTGACCAACACTGCTTATCACTGACACTACTTTTGGAAAGAAAGGTTTTCAGTGGAGTTCTAAAATCTTAATTTAACCTTTCTCCGCCCACCTCTCAAAACTCAGATCTGAAAATGATGGAAGGAACTCAACATTTCCATTTACGGGAACAGCTTGAGACATGGTTGAGTCTGACCCTTGGTTGTGTAATCTGCCAGATAAATTTAGATGTAATGCTTTCTAATAATTTGAATGCAGACTGTGGGATCAAAATGGGTAGGTTCTGAAATAGGAATAATAGGCATGGAAGAATATTCATCCTTATACATTCAATCCTCCCCATAAGAGTGAGTGGGAGTAGGTTCCATCTGTCCAAGTCCCTCCTTGAATAACCGATCATAATTGAGTGCAAGTAACTGATTGGTTTTAGGAGTAATAATTATCCCCAAGTATCTGAAACCCTGTTTAGAGTGTCTAAAAGATACAAGATGATCTAGCTGTGTGGGCCAGTTCCCAACAATCATTAATGTTGCGTCTGTGTTTCCACATGCCCCGCTAGTTTAGAGACTTATTCCTCATGAAGAACACAAGACATAACAGAACATCTTCAACCGGTCTTTAACTCGCTAACGAGGGAAGCCTTGGTCAGAACCAGGCGGTGGAGCAATGCTCCTCTCCTTTCTCTAGCCCAAATCCTCTGTGAGCAACACAAGGTGGTGAATAACACACCCTTGGTAAATTCAAATACCCAGAAAAATTGGCTGGCGTGGGTGGTCAGGATCAAAGGAATGGCTTTGATCCTACTGCTTGAACTAAGACTTTACAAATTTAAGAACCACAATGACAACATTCAACAATTTGACTTAACAATTAACGCCTCAGATTTGTTTGTATTTATTTTATAACCTGACACTGTACCATAATCTTTAAGATTGCTCAGAAGGGCTGGGACAGAGGTGACCAGATTCTCTAAAAATAGCAAAATATCATCTGCGAAAAGTGACAGCTTATATTGTGTATTGGTTTCATTTCTAATTCCTTGTATGAGAGGGTTGGATCTGATCAGTTCAGCTAACGGTTCAATACTGAGAGCAAATAAGGACGGCGCTAACATTTCACCCTGTCTAGTGCAGTGGCCTAGAGAGAAGAAGTCAGTGGCCATTAACCCTTACCCGAGATTTGGGATTTTTATATAATGTTTGGACCCATGAAATAAAAGTGACATTGATGAAGTATTTTTCAATTACATGTTTCAGCTTATATTATTGAATCTCATAGCGCTGCATACACACTTATAAAAGGTGAAGTTTTACTTGATATTTAATATTGCATTGTAATAATGTACACCTTAGTTTGCCCTTGTGTTTTGCAGCTTTGTGCATTTATTCCACTTACTTCTATGCTCCTGATGTTCCCTTAACAAGTTCTTCCTGTTTCATTTTTTAATATCCTATCTAATCTAATGTATGTTGCATTTGGGTTTGTTATCTAGTTTTCCTAATTAGTTGCAGTTCCCTGGTGTTCCCATCTCCCTAATTACCTTGTGTGTGTTTATAGCCCTCGTCTTCTATAGTTTATTATATATTTATCATCCTGTTTATTGTTTCCTGTGTTCACCTTAGTTTCCTAGCTCCCAGTATTTTCCCAGCATTGTTTTATGGATTCTGGTTCTGGTTCAATAAAAGATTTCACACCACATTGCTGCTCACTTCTGCCTGTGTGCTTTGCAGAGTGTCATAGCCTCCTGCACATCCCATTCATCCTGCTATAGATAGGCTTAAGCTGCTGTTGGATCGTTGCTTGTGTTAAGAAACTGAAGACACTTTTAGTCAAAGCCACCAGACTCCACTGGAAAAAATGACAATTTTACCTGCGATGCAAATAACCTGTTGTTGCCTCGATCATTTTTTGGGTGACTGATGTTTTAAGACAGTAATTCTAAAATCGACTGTGTTAAACAGTCACACAGTAACCTTGTGTCCTCCAAGATAAAGTTAGAGTTTGGTTTCATTTTTGTTCCTGTAAGTTGAATCTGGTGGGTTTAAGAGAAATACCTCTCCGTCAATCACAGGGCTCTTCCTGAAAGACAGAGATGCAGACATTCTAATTTGATTTAGAAAAAGAGGACCAAACTAGGGGTTAACATTAATAGTAAAAAAAATGATCTGTGTGGTATTTTGGGCTGAAACTTTAAATATACAGTAACTTATGACTATCATTTATTTGTCTGGAAGTGGTATTTATTGAGACATTCAGGTAAACAGTAGTCAGGATTGTATTGCTCTTGTATGCACATATCTTATGCTTGTACTGTGTGGCAGCTGAGCATCAGCCAAAGCAGTGATGACACAACATCAGACTGTCCTGCACTATTGTTATACTGTTATATGTTGTACATACTTCACACTACAAAGTATGTCATTATGACAATAGCTCATAATGACAGATGCCTGCAAGCTGCATGCATCATATTTTAATAGAACGATCTGGATATAATTTTGAGGCTATGGGCTAAATAATCCACCCCTAGTTATACATATGTCACATATCTTTTATAACAGCTGAGAGAAGGGCACAAATACTGTATGCTTGAGTATCATAATGACAACAAAGTTGACTTGGATGTGATGAAGTTACTAGTTCCAGTCCAGTTTTTACATGTTAGCTTAGCTAATAGCCATCACCATTTTGTCCGTCTGTATCTGGAAGTCCCACAGGATCTTAGCTCGGTCATTCTCCACCACCCTT